ACTTCTATAAATTTTGTATAATTGATCTTAAAATAATTCATATTTTAATTATCTGTTCATCTCTGTAATTATAATCTTGTTTAATTATTATAATATTTAATATTCTAATAAACCACCTGTAGTCATGAGTTTACAATACAAGTTCTGTTCACCAAAGTCGTCTTCTATAGTATGCAAAGATTCAATTAGCAGTGCCACCTTGTGTTTATTTGTAAAATGGGATTTGACTACCATAGAATAGACAAAAAATAAGTGGTGATGGTAGTAGTGAAATTTATCGTCAGGGAATGAATAAGTTTAGATCTGACAAATCATTTTTTACATAGATGAATCTTTGTTTGATAGGTAATTATGATTGGGCTTGATATGCAGTGTTATCCTATTTTCTATTTCTGTTTTCTATTGGTACTAATGAGATGTAAATATACCTTAGAGTTAAAAAATGCGTTGAAAATCGGTCGCTGATGCCCTGTCCCGATAAAAGGATACACATCGAGGCAAACCATACGCAAACAGGTATGCATAGTTTACAACATTTTGCAAACGCTTCTGGTTAACTTCAAGCCTGTAAACCATCGCACCCCCTGCATTCGACCACGCGTTAACTTTACCTCGTTTCCATGTGGCGTAAAATTTTCGGGGCGTCTTGCCCAATTCGCTTTATTGATTTCCTCACGCGGTATTTACTTTTCCGGTCGAGGTGATTGCGAATAAATTTGGTTTCGTTTTTGGAAAAATTCTTAAATATGAAAGATCTCATGCCGCCGCACAGTGCGAAATACGAGTCTCTAGGGGAACAAAACAATAGTTTTTTATGCAACAAGTGCGGTAAACGGCATTTGAGTCACGAGTTTATTTGGCATGAGCAGAGCGCAGCGGAGTGACTGTAAGGAGTGACTCAAATAGTTTACCAACCGTTTTGCATAATATACTTTTTGTACGATCGTTAGTGTTTTCAAAACAAAACACAAGTACATTTACTGATTAATTGACAAACGTCAAAATTTTATCCGTACGGTAAAATAAAAAAATAAAAAGAACAGCTCATCTCCTGTAGGTGGGTACGCAAATAGAAAAAATTATCTTGTACGTATAAAATATTATTTCTCAAAAACTTTGACTCAAATATTTAGTCTAATGTAGAAAGCAATTAATTTTTCAAAGAAACTATCACAGACTACTGTAACACTTTTTACAAAACTTCTGGATTCCTCCTGCGTCGGTTTTTGCTGAGTCGAACTTGCTGACGTTTCGCCAATCATCCTGTTGGCTTCTACAGAGCTTGACTGAAACTGGCTCGCATTTTACTCTGTAGCTGCTTATATATTGTTTGAGGGGAGAGGGGAGCTAAATGAGGAGCATAAACACCGTCTCGGATAACTGATTCCCTTATTGGTGACAGATAGAGATCTGAGTCGCTGTTAAGATTGTTAGGTTGTTTATAAATTTCTATAAACTCTCGGATTTTTCGTTGGTGGAAGAATTGTGTACATGTAAGAATTTTCGTTTCATCGAAAAAAAATTTATGTCCGGTTTCGTGATTGTGTTTCGCAACAGCTGGTGAGTTTATTTGTCTTAGTCGTAAGGCTCTTTCGTGTTCTTTGAGTCTAGTTGATATTTTTCGTCCGGTCTCTCCAATGTATTCTTTGCCGCATATGCATGGAATGGCATGGCATCTCAAATGGAAGTTTGTCTTTGATGGACCGAAGATGTTGAGAGATTTTTGGACAAGTGGTAAATTTGGTTTTGACGTTATACTTCTTTAGAACTTTTGATATGTGGTCAGTGGTTGTGGTGAAGTGTATTTTTTGATGGAACGCTTAATATCTGTGTGGAAATTATTAGAGAGAAGAGCAGAGGTAAGGTGTTTTAATCCTGTTTTCAGTTACTCGGGCTGAGATAGTTTTACGGCTCTGTAAACAAGAGAGTTGATTACCGATGATTTTTGGGCCGGATGGTGATGTGATCATGCATTAAGGTATCGGTCTGTGTGCGTAGGTGTTCTGTAAACACAATGACCTAATGTTAGGTCTGATTTTCTATTGATAAGAATATCTAAGAATGGAAGGTTATTATTAGTGTCCAACTCAATGGTAAAACGTATGTTAGGGTGTATAGAGTTCAAATGTCGAAGAAAATCTACTAGCGTTTCTTGTCCATGAGGCCATATAACAAAAGTATCATCGATGTAGCGTTTCCATAATTTTGGATTTAGATGAAAGGTGTCGAGAGCTTTCTTCTCACAAATGTATCCGCGATGACTGGTGATAGCTGTTGCCGACGTTTGTTCAAAAATTTGACCGTTATAAGAAAAATAGCATTTTTCAATTAAAGTGAGTCAAACTGCTCTAAGAACCAGAAAGATCGACGGTACTAGGTTAAAAAGTGAACTTGGAACTGTTCGCTATCATACAATATCGTCTCCAACATTAAGAAGACGTTTAAATAAGGCTGGTTTAAGCGGCAAAAGACCGACAAAAAAACAATTGCTCACCAGAGAACAGAGAGCCGCAAGATTCCGGATGATCAACATTGGAGTGCTGATGATTGGAAGACAGTTTTATTTTCTGATGAAACGAGAATTAGTCTCAATTCTCATGATCGGCATGAACATGATCGGCGAAGGGTAGGAGCGTGATATGCAAGTTGCAATATCTCACCAAAAATCTCTTTTGGTGGAGGCTCTGCAATGTTTTGGGGACGAATATGTTCCCACGGACGCACAAAGTTACTCCCTATACGTGTAAGATTTTTATCTAGAAAATATTGTAATTGAACATGTGATATAATTTGTTCCTATTTTGGAGCCGAATATTTGATTTATGCAGGATATTGCACGTCCCCACGTATCTAAACAAGTCATAGACTACATGAACTCTGCTACTGGAATGGTCACCTCGCAAGCCCGATTTAAATCCCATAAAAATCAATAGCGTGCTCTAAAAAGAAAGATTCAACGCTGCAATCCCGTATCGGTTAACCACAATCAGTTGGCGAATCCAGTAATTGCATAATGGTAGAATATTCCCTAACATACAATTAAAAATATAATTTCCACTCTGCCGAGGCCTATGAATGTAGTGATTTTTGTTTTTTTTTCGCTTCATGTTTCACACTTTCACTGGTTTCCAAAAAAATTGTTTTTAATAAACTCACATGTAATCTTAGTATAGTAATTACTTTATTAAAAAAACCAACTCGTTAATTTTATATTCATTTATCAAAGCGAGTAGAAATTATACGGATAACAAATAATGTATTCGATATTGATACATCGTTTAAAATGTCGTAAAAATTCGATAGCAAAGATGTTATGCTATAAAACGGTATATATTCATTAATAACAGAGATAATAAAGTAAAACAAAGTGAAAATGTTGGCGAAAGATGGAGCTACCTTCTAATGCCAACTGCTATATGTTCCGGTTGCTAGTATATTCCACAGACTGATATGAATTCATGGAAAAACAAATAACAATTTTATTAATAAAGCGAAAATGAACTTTTTAGCATTATCGGCAAAAACTATGTCAAGGACCCAAAATACAATTTTAGAAAAAATTATTCAAAAAACACCGAAAATGTGGCAAATTTATGATGTTGCATTAGTTTTGTTCAGAAGTATATTTTGACTGATTACCAATTTAACTATGTCTCAAATGGACGTCATACATCTTGATTTTTCAAAAGCGTTTGATCGCCTAGATCATAAGATTCTAATCTACAAGCTGCCTGCTTTTGGATTTTCCGAATTGCTTGTTAATTTGTTTTCTTCATAATTGTCTAACCACACTCAGTGCGTCTATCTCTATGGTCATATTTCCGATGAATACATTGCTTCCTCAGGCGTTCCTCTAGGCTCAATATTGGGGACATTATAATATTATAATAAAAACCTTGATGTTAGTTTTGTTATATATGCGGACGACGTAAAAATTGTTTAAAAAATCCGGTGTTCAGAGGATTGTCTTACTCTCCAGCGTAGTCTCTCAATAATAACTTGCCAAGTGTAATGTAGTCTCTTTAACCACTATGAGTTTAGCTGTGAAATATGACTATCATCTTATTGATAAAACTCTCTCCCGTTTTAACAGTTTTTGTGAATTGTATCTCGAAATTATTCTTTGTTTCTCATATTAATAAGACTCAGCAGCAGAAGAAGAAGCATCAAAAAGCTACGTATTTATGGTATAAAACTGATAAAAATATTATATAACTCATACTTAAGGCCTAAGCTAAAGTATGCATCAGTTACTTTGGTCTCCTGATTAGAATTGTCATATTAATAGCGTGGAAAAAAATCATCCTAAGTGTTTCAAGTATGTATAAGTTGGACGGAGAATATCCCCCACAAGGCTTTTCGCATACAATATTATTAAATAAATTTGATTATGTGTCTCGCCACGATTAGCATAATTAAATGACTTTAATTAAACTTTTAAATAACTTTTTTGGGGGCTAGACTAAATTTTCTTGTTCCCCGTATTAACTCTAAACATAGTAACACATTCTTTCTGTCCACACCAAGAACAAATATTTTAAAATTTTCACCTATTTTCTCAATGTACTCCAAGTACATTGCTCTACCCGATTTGAACTTTTTTTCCCAATCTATTACCAAGGTAAAAACGTTATTGCCCAGTTAACTATAATCATAAGATTAATGCTTATGTTAAGCCAAACTTTAGGTTAAGTTTCGTGATATCGTTACTTGCAGTGTACCTACCTGTGATCTGGGATTTATGCCTGTTAGGTAGACTTCTTTAAATACATAAATAAACGCTTTTATTAAAATATTACCTGCTGAAATCGAATTTCTTTGAATTGTTTGTACGGTTTCGCCCTATTTAAGCGCATTAACGACCCGGCAATTAGCTAATAAGGAAGTCACGAGATGGAAAATTCAAGGACGATTCAATAACGTCAAAATTGACCCGCTGACGGCGGTCCGCTCGCAATTTAGCCCTTCCCGAACATCGGAAACATTGTTTACGTATTTACCTAAAAATCGACTCCCACGAAAACGACGGTCACGTACTGGTCCGAAAAGCGCACAAAATAAACAACACCGCTTTCACCTTGTTGCCAACGTTGTCATTCACACTTTTGCGCACCCAATTTCCATATTCGAATTTCGATCAAGCGAACTCGCATCGGAAAAAAAAACATTCACGTAACGATCGAGCTGGCGCAGGGAAACGCGGCACCCAACCACACCAGGCGCCAATTGTTGACTGTCCATGTCCCAAGAACGAAACATAGACCTCGATGGTGAAACAAGAACGAGCTTCGGACGTTGCCGGATTTTCGATAAGCAAATTTTAAAGCCCAGGCACGTTTCTGAAGTACGCTGGGTTAATCGAACCACGCGGACTGCGCTAAAACATCAACTAAATGTAAGTTACTGATATTTACCTAAATAGGTACTCTCAAAGTCGACAATTAAGAATAATTACAATGGGTTCCTTATTATTCCGTCCGCAAATGTCAGAATCGTCAATTTTGTACTGCATTTTTCGGGCGCTCAATAGAAATATCATTCATCAAATTAAACTAACTTATTTTAACTTTTTTTTTTTGCTTTTACATATCATTTTACTTGGTTTCATAGATGTTCTATGGGGTTCTGTTTTAACTAACCTATCACATATTTGTAAAACGTATTTTGCCAGCTTTCAACGGGTATATTATTAATTATATTTTTTGTTCAATTTATTTTAAGTGTTAGCAATATTTTCATTCATTTCATTCAAGTCGCGTATATATAAGTGATACTTAGAACGAGCATAGTTTTAAATCTGAGATAAATTCAAATCTTTCTTGTCCGATGCTCTTTACTCCATCTTTAAAAGAAAAGTGGTGGAAAATAAATGTCTAAATGCTCTCTTAAGGCTCTCAAAGGTGCTATGAGTGAAATGATTGCGATTGTGATTCTGCCACCAGATAGGGTTTTCAGACAAAAAAATATTTTTCTGAAAAAAGAAATGCTTTTTTTTAAGTGATCATATAAGAACGTAACCCCGTGAAATCCGCACCTCAATATCTTTATCCTATGTTAAAGCAACCCTTATAAATGAATAATATTGATAGCTATAAAACACATTTTATACGAAGGATAAATTCCTTCTGCATCGAGCATATTTAATACGGATGTGCTAATTTCAGCTCGTGAAAGGTTGGTTATTTTCAAGGGTAGCAGGGCGAGTTTGCTGAACAATATCTTGTTTTCTGACAGGCCACGGACACACACTGGGTCTTCTTATTCAACGGTTTTAAATAATACTGGTTTTCTAAAAAGTTCAAATAAATTTGGATATTAACTTTTCCATTAAAGAAAAATGAGGGTATAATTCGATCAACCAAAATACCACACCAGACGTTCACACTCCATCGATTTTAATGATTCACTCCACGCATAAAATGAGGATTCACTGGCGACCAGTGAAGCATATTATGCAAATTGATTCCTTGCTCTATTGCTCACAAAGTAGCTCCATCGGTCCATAATATTCTAGAAAAAAAATTGGGATCCTCATCTATAACAGCATTTAGCCAGAAATATAATTTCCTGTCAAAAAGACTTTCTAAAAGAGCTATGATCTTTTAGAATTCGATGTCCGGTGTCCAAGTCCAAACTAATTTTTCTTAAGCACAAATGAGGATTAATGTGTACATATGCAAGAACATGGAGATGCTTTATTTCTACTTACTGCTTAACTTAGTGTTTAACAATATTAATGTGACTAGAGACTAAAGTTAGAAACTGCATCATTCGATATTTAAAGGCAGATGATAAAAATAAGCTACCAAATTAACCCAAAATATTTGTATTATAACACTCTTATAAATTTTAGTATTTTCAATTTTACTTATCAAATTTATTCGAACTTTAACTTATGTAAAAAAAAAACATGTGGTTGGAAATTATGACATTAAAACGTGTCTTCATTAAACACTTACTTCGGGCTTTTCCAATGTTGTAGTTACCGACATTTTCGGTATTTTAGGGATGATATTTTGACAGTTTTGGTTAGTTCACGTCATTCACTGAATGTACCTAAAAATTGCACTCGTATTTAAACAAATGCGTGTCTAAAGTGTAGTTGATAAAACTTTTGGCGCAATATAGCGTTATTTTTTATGATCTGCAGAGTGTAATCTGCAGTTTGGAGTTTCGAGCCCTGTATAATTTTGATCCAAACCAAATAACTGAAATAACTTATTACGGTGGTTATGACGGAATAAAATTCTAAAATTAAATATGAAATAAAATCCAGCATTTCTTTTATATATTGAAAGATGGTAAAAGCAAAGCTGAAGTTGAAAAGCATGGATTGAAGTGGATTGAACCGGAAACCTTATAATTCTGAATAGATACGTCAATTTTTGTTTCCATATTCGAAATCTATGTGAAAATCTCTATGAAGTGACATAGCTATACTGCTTGACCACTTGTTCAATGGAATTTTGTGCACATTGACATAAAACAGTTATATTTCAAAGAATTTGGTTTTTCTGAAATATTTCCATCTACCATCTACGAGAATTTGTAATAATAGTCAATAATAATAATAATAATAATAATAATAATAATAATAATAATAATAATAATAATAATAATAATAATAATACTTTAGACTTTAGACTTAATTGGCCATTAAATACATTACAAGAACAACAAATGGCAAGTCACAATATCAAACACATTCTAATAACATTCATAGAGAGCAACATAATTATCAGATAGACAAACACCAAACATTGAAACAAAAAATTAGGTAAAAAAAAAAGTAAATAAATAAATAAATTCCCAATTAGTATTATGGAGACACTCGTGACGCAACACGGATGTACTCATCTGCAGTATAGAATGCGTTCTCCAATAGAAATTGTTTTATTATATTACAAAATTTAGTGAATGGCAGATCCTTGACAACGGTTGGTAGAACATTGTAGTAATTAATGTACAATTTATTTAACTCGGATGTGCGCAGACTAGAATGGCCCTGGACAATTAATTCATTAATAATAATAATAATAATAATAATAATAATAATAATGATAATAATAACAATAATAATAATAATATATTAATATATATTGTAAAATACATTACAAGAACATATCACAAAAGACAAAGTTGAAGTCATACTCCTTAATTCGCAAGACAATTAATTATATTATATTAATTATTTGATATGATAGGAGCATATGACTTAGTAAGAGTTAACAGTTATGCCTGCACAATATACAAAAAAGCAGTGCAAACGAAAAGAAAAAAAATCATAAATTTATTACTATAAAAAAGTACAATGGTTTGCTCTCAAAACAATTCATAAGTAGCGTGGCGATTTCAGTTCAACTTTTAAGCCGTATGCGAACAGCCTTTAGCATGTTGTAGAAGCTAAAAATTTTGAGACTAAGAGAAATCCTGTTATAGTTTTAATTATTCTGTTTATATACATAAAGTAAGCTAAACGGGTTATGGCTTGGTGGTATGTTTTTCTCCATTTCTTTTTAACCACCACTTCGGCAGTCCTGTAAGCCAAATTCCTCTAACTTCCTCTCTACCATATGCATCCACAATCTTAGGTCTACCTCTCATTCTTCCAACAATTATTCTTCAAAATTTGTGTTTAGTATCATTCAATCTCATTATATGCATTTGTGTTTTCACTATATGGGTTATAGCTGTATAACTTGCCTTTTACTTTCTGTGAGCACAGAGTCTAGAACTATATTAAACAAGGTTGTCGATAGGGTGCCTGTCCTTTCCCAGAACTCTCTTGTAACTCCAAAATTTTCTATAACGTTCTTGTTATAGTTTGTTTCAATTAAAGTTACTTTAGTCTCCTACACTTCATGTTTACTCTTATTTTCTTGAGTGAATGCTATATATTTTCTCTTTTAATTGTGTGGTATACCTGCTTAAAGTCCACAAATAACATATACAGTGGTAAGTGCTGATCCACGCTATTATCTATTATTTGTTTTAAGATCAAAACTTGGCCTTTGCCCGATCTGTTCTTTCTCAAATCACATTGGTAGTGTATTTTTTCTTTTCTTTGTATATATTCTTAGCTGAAAATTAGTTTAAATTTTTAAATCAATATCAAGCAGCAGGCCAGATTTATAGAAACAGTTGAACAAAAGATTAATTTAAGGTTCTGTCATAGTCCACGTAAATAGTATTAAAAGCACGGACTAAAAACGAAAAGTATTTTGTTCGTGTCCGATCAGAACGAAAACAAAAAATATCGTTTTCGTTCTTTTCGTTCACACCTAAAAAATATCGTTTTCATTTTCGTGAACCTAAACGAAATAACGGTTAAAACCGTTTTTTACTATTTTTCTAATAATAATATGCCAACACACCATTTTTATTTTTGTATACATTTTTAATCATAGCTGGCGAAAATTACTAACATAAAATCAACTGCGTTTTAAGTGGTGATGACATTTTTGTTTTTTATTAATATTAAAAATAAAATTTAGAATGAATTGTTTGGGACCGTTTCTGGAGAGGCACGAATCTGTTTTAATTTCATTCATTTATTTCCATTAAATTTTGTTACTTGAAAACTACGCAGAAACTGCTATGCAGTTTAGTGGGTTGCCAGTGACAGATTTTTTTTTGTTTTTTTTTGCTTTTGCTAAATAATAATATTGGTTTCTTTTCTCTCTGATCTTGCTTTATTTCAATTAACTTTTACTTACTTAAAAATTTTGTGTCATGGTTAATTTTCGGTTATTTGCAAATAAAGTTATTATTATTATTAAAAATTAGAGAAAAAAATTGTTAACTTATTTATTTTATAGTAAAAATATATATAAAAAAATCAGCATTCCAAAATCAATAAAAAATTTTGTTAATTAAATTAAAGATATATTCTGGACTAAATCGCAGGATAATTTTTAATTTTAGTGTATATGAATATATTTATATAAAAATTAATTGAAACTATTTAATCTAAAAAGCTAGACTCCTTCCAATAAATTTTCTGTTAAATTCGACCTTTGACAATTTAAAATTTATTTCAGTGCTGAAAATGCTCATTCACTCACTTGTGTCATAGGTAAACCAATACTTTATTTTGCAACATTATACAATTCATTTGACGACGTCTCTTTTGCTAAGCAATATTTTAAGACCTACGTGTCTCGCTTTTCGCGCGGTTTCATTTTCATTCCATCTTCTTCTGTTGAAGTTGAATTTAGAGATGATTCTTCAACGAAATTGTTACCTTCATTTATATGTTTTAGTATTTGTGAAGTAGATAAAACTACTTTGAATCTTGGATCAAGAAATGTTGCTGACATAGTCACATCTTGATAAAATTGTGCATTTTCCCTTTCGTTTAGTGATTCTACTAAATTTTTTGAAAATCGGCTACAAATTTTGCTTGTTTCCATTTTACGCTGCAGCCAGGTAGAATAAAAATCTCCCCCCAACAAATGCGCTGTTTGGAATAATTTTGCTGTTTGTTTTTTTGCAGGATTTAAAACATTACAGATGTGTACATGACCAATCATTTTCGCCATGTTTCTACAAAAGTATTTCAATAATAGGAGTTTTTCCAACATACCATGTGTACTGTGTCATCGTGTCGCACAATCTATAATAGGTTCCTTAAGTTTCATTGTTTTAATTATAGTTAAAATATTTATCTTTTAGTCACCTTTCTAGCTCTACCTATTATCGCTGGAATACACATCATCCACGGCAAACTGCAAAGTGTGTGCAGCCGGAATTTGTAGCAATGTCAGCTATGGAAGCATCTTGTTTCGTAATAAATGCATTACTTCCATTTTCTTTTTCTTCGTTTTCTTGTTCTTTATTTTCTTCTTCGTCACTAATAATATCGCTTTGCTGGTCTTCTAACAAATTCACCGCTTTGAGCATATTTGCCCCATTGTCTGTTGTTATACTGATATTCTTATATTAGTATAACAACATATGTTATTTTTGAAATGTATGCGGAACCATTCAACCTTCAATTCTGGACAGTTATTATTGCCAATAAATTGAACGTTGATTCCTAATATTCTTCTATCAAGCTTTTTACAAAACTTCTGGATTCCTCCTGCGTCGGTTTTTGCTTAGTCGAAATTGCTGACGTTTCGCCAATCATCCTGGTGGCTTCTTCAGAGTTTGACTAAAACTGTACTCTGTACCTGCTTATATATTGTTTGAGAGGGGCGGGGGCGCTAATGAGGGGTATAAACACCTGAGTCGCGATTAAGATTGTTAGGTTGTTTATAGATTTCTATTGACTCTCGGATTTTTCGTTGGCAAAGCAACTGATTATATGCAAGAATTTTAGTTTTACCAAATAAAATTTTATGCCCGGTTTCATGAGTATGTTCGGCAACAGCTGATGAGTTTATTTGTCTTAGTTATAAGGCTCTTTCGTGTTCTTTGAGCCTAGTTGATATTTTTCGTCCGGTTTCTCCAATGTATTCTTTGCGGCATATGCATGGAATGCCGTAAACTCCTGGCATCTCAAATGGAATTTTATCTTTGACGGACCGCAGATGTTGAGAGATTTTTGGACAAGTGGTAAATCTGATTTTGACGTTATACTTCTTTAGAACTTTTGATATGTGGTCAGTGATGTTTTGAATGTAAGGAAGGACTCAAGCTTTGAAGAAGCCACCAGGATGATTTCGACTAAGCAAAAACCGACGCAGGAGGAATCCAGAAGTTTTGTGAAAAGCATTACAGTAGCCCGTGGAAGTTTCTTTGAAAAATTATTCTATCAAGTCTACTTGCTCCGTTAACTTTGAAATATAATAACTTCCCCTTTAATTCTTTCGTTATTTTTTCTTTTAAGCCCAAAGCATTTAAATTAATTTATATTTTTCAGGTTAATTGCGATTTTAGTCCAGTCAGTCCAGCTATTATCAGATCTAAAATTTTTCGAAAATCCGAATCATTAAACATGCTGAATGGACGGCCGTAAACTGTTAGCAGTTCTGTACATGCTTCCTTCAACAAATCAGGACTAATGTTAACTGAAATATTGTTTTTTTGTTTTATAACGACATCATCCACGGTAGGTTGGAGATTTAGCTGCCTTTTTTTAGTTGTTGCTGATGAATTTCTTTATGACCAGATTGTACGTGTCGCTGCAAGTTTCCTGAAGGATTTGTAATAATAAAAAGGCTTCAAAATATTAAAATAAAAATAAGTTTAAATTATATTTTTATTTTAAAATGTTACCTTTATATATGTATAATAACAACTTACCAAGATTAAGATATAAAAACAAAAACACAATACCGACAACTGAATGTAACGAACTTGTGTAAGATATTGGATGATCGCCTGGAAAAAATAATATGGGAATACCCTGCATGTGCGAGCGATGGGTTGGCGATGACGTCACCTTCGGTTGCTCTACTTTATAGCGGAACACTAGTGATGAGCGTGAGTAGATACTCGTGAATCTTGAGCTTCAAGGGCCAACGTGAATAGAAGACCCTTGCATCCCCGATATGTCTACTAGGAGTAGGTTACAAAAATATTGTGTCATTAAACCGATTGAAACCGGTAACCAAAATTATTTATTCGTTTTCAATCATGAACGAAAAATAAAAATTTCGTTTTCGTTTCCGTTTTCGTTCTTACAAATTATTCGGGTAATTTCGTTCTTTCGTTCTGTTCTTAGTCCCTGATTAAAAGTGCGGAAAATCGTCAACCGCAAATACTTTTCGCCATAGCGTGGCAACAACTCAGCCGCTCTCCAAAGTGGGTTCTCTTTACTCAAAGCGGGCAGGTGCAACAAAAGTGGGGGATTTTGTGTGTATTTCACGCTTCTCTCGTGGTTTGTCAAATCGAAATGCGTCGTCACCGATTCAAGATGCCCTTATTTTTTAAACGTATAAATAGATTTTGTTTTGTCTCGCGGCGGCGACATAACACGAAACACTTGTCGTTTCGGAAAAAAAGATCGGAAAATAATGGACGCACGCTGATTTATGTCAACCGTCACGATTGTTTAAGTGTGTTTTCTTAAGGAATATTTTCTTAATTGGACGAAAACGGTTCGAGAACCTAGAACTTCATTTAATGTTATACAAAGTGCCCCGTTTCTATATGAAGGGATCACCGCTTGTTCACATTTACGATCGGTCAATTGATTTGGGAATTAGCGGTGAATAACCATAAATGGCGGATTTGGTTTTTTGCCACTAAATAAAATACGGTTAAAATCAAATTCGTTTTCCACGACGAAAACTGGCGCAGTCGGTACGATTCCGTGAAACAAGCATTCAAAAATCGACACTGTTTGGTCTCTCTTAAGAGTTTATTCGCGAAATCCGAACAACACAAAAAACTGTTCAAGCGGGTGAAAAGTGCTCCATTGACCAGGGGAAGGAACAAGCATCGTCCACAACCCTATTGGTGCGAAATAAGGAACAAAAATCGTCAGAATTTCATACGTAGCCCAGGGAAGAGACAAGCATCCCTCATCCTATTGGAAAACTAGACCAAGAAAACGAGACAAGCAGGAATGAAAATCCTCGTTCTCTCACTGTTACTGCAGGTTTTTCTTTTGTAAATATTTTTCTGATTCAAACTGGAAAGATTAATTTCTCGTTTTGAAACGTTAGAGTTAAAACCTAGAGTAGCTTCTGTCGATAATGTTCATCTGATTCCAATTCCGATTCTGAAACACCATGCCGGACACGGTGAATCTTCATTTAGTTAGGTACCAAGCGGATAACATCCCTCATGTCGACGGCAATCCCAAACAAATAAATCGTTTTATTAGAATCTGCGAAAATTTTCTAACCAATCATCAAAATGTAAATAACCCAAATGCTTCAATAAATGTTTGTTTAATCGATACAATAATTAGTAAATTAATTGGTAGAGCAGCTGATTTAATAGTTTCTCGTTCTGAACTCGATAGTTGGTTAAAAATTAAAACAGCTCTTCGGGCAACGTTCTCCGATCAAAGACCAGTTGATTGTCTTTTACAGAATATAATTTCAATGAAACCTTGGGGTCTATCAATTAATATGGAAAAAACAGAATATCTTATCGCAGAAGGCACAAACACAACTATAAAATGTGTCGATTCATACGAGTACTTGGGTGTAAATATAACAAAAAGTGGCACTAGGGAAGCTGAAATTAAGAACTGCGTCCGACAGGGAAAACATGCAACAAAGCAGTTAAATGGAATACTGTGGAGCACCCAAATTCGACCAGTAACTAAAATCAGGATTTATAAGACCATTGTAGAGAGTATTGCAACCTATGGGGCCGAAGTATGGGAAAGGACTGATTATTTACGTAAAAGATTATTGGCAATGGAAATGAACTACTGGAGACGCTGTTGTGGACTAGCACTGCTAGACAATATAAGTAACAATGAGCTAAAACAAAGAATGAAAATAGACACCACCATTGTTGACACTATCGAAGCCAAAAGTTTAAAATGGTACGGCCACGTATGTCGAATGCCGGATGATAGATGGCCAAAAAAAAATATTGAATTGGGTTCCTCCAGAAAAAAGAAAACGAGGACGTCCCAGAAACACATGGGGAGGGTATAAGAAATGCAATGACCCAAAGAAATCTACAAGAAGAGGACTGGAAAGACAGAAAGAGTTGGCGAGTAGGATGCGAGAAACGACTTTAAGTTTGTTATCGACAATATTCGTAAGACTCGACGAAATCGACTTGGGAAAAAAAACCTATATGGAGGTTTTATCAAGTGGGTGTCGAGTTACGTCGGGCGTGCAAAGGACCCAAGAGGAAAGATAGGGCAGTTAAGACATTTCTTTTTCCGTTAGTATAAAAACTCGATAGTTTTATATTTTGTATTTTATATTTTAATAAATCCCAAGTGTTCAAACGAGTATTCTACTTTAAAAACACCTTGATTACATCAGGAGTGGGATAACAACTCCGTGTCTGCTCACACCTGAGTAAAACAATGCATCGTCATCGCGCAATTAGTGACCGGCGGAGGGACCGACCCTTAACCCCTAGTGCTCGTAGCCGTTCGCGAAGTGGTGATCGTGATGTGTATGCAATCCGACGACGTCAATCATCCGCCCAAAGCAGGAGCTACACCTCGCCTTTGGCAGTTGCGTCTACGAGTGAGCAGAGTACTCATCAGCAGGAGGGTAGTGAGTCTATTATTTCGTTAAGTCGAGCTTTACTTCAAGGTATTGAAGGAATTGCAGATAGGTCAAGAAACTCTGGGTTGATCAATAATAACTTCTAACTAATTCATGAATTTAATCCGATAAACGATGACATTGTGGAATGGTTAAATGCAATTGACGAATATTCGTTCATTAATAATTGGAATGATCGAATTACTTGCCACTTGGCCCTCAGTAAATTGCGTGGTTCAGCTGAAACCTGGTATCGCGGGTTGACCACACGCATATTTACTTGGACCGAATGGAAAGAATTATTAAAAAATCAGTTTATCCCTAAAAGAAATCTTCATGCTGACATGACAAACATGCTGAAGTGTGTTCCACAAAATAATCACAGCTTGTACGAATATTGTTTTGAAAAATTGGATTTAATTAACAAAATGAAATTGCGTATAACTGACGAAGATAAGGTCAGTTTAATAATGGGGGGAATAAAACATCAACAAATTAAGTTTTCAAAATTCAGTAGAAACAGCAGAAATAACTAACCCTGCAAAATTAGCGCGATGCTTTTGATGAAAAATTAGACACTCCAGAACAAAATAACTCTAACACCCTTACTTCCCAAAATTTTCGAGCTTCAGCATCAGCTATGTCTACTTGTTATAATTGCAAACAAAAGGGACACTTAAGAGGTAAATGTCCATATAAAAATCAACCTAACAACGCTGTTGTTGCTTAACATAATTCATTATGACAACCAAATTCTGCAATTAATAAACCCATGCAAAAATATATATCTCCAAAATAAGCCTGTTAAATGTTTTATCGATTTCGGCAGTGAATGTTCACTAATTAATCAAGCTATTATTTCACCTTTTAATTTAAAACCAGAACCGCTTAAATCAACTATTTTTATTAAAACTCTTTCAGATACAGCTATGAGCAGCGTTTCTCATTTTGTTGACGCTAACATAAAAAAATCTTAGGCGTTGATATCTTAATAGGTCCAAACTTCACGGAACTCAATGATATCACTTATTTCAAATCGGGCGTTGGGTAATGGAATTAAATGAGTACGACTATGACATTAAACACCGACCAGGCCTTCAACTGCGTCACGCAGATGCTCTAAGCCGTAACCCGAACCCCGATTCTAAAGCGGGTACTGAAGAGTTCTGGGAAAATACTCAAGAAATAAGTATTAATTTTATTAATATAACTGAAAGCGATTGGCCATTAGCTGCCCAAGAATCCTCTAAGAATATTAGGGAAATAAAGAAAATTTTATTATCAGGTGATATTCAAAATAATAAAGACATTTTTAATCAATATGAATTAAAAGGTGGAATAGTTTATAAGGTCACAGATTTTGGACCGCGATGGGTAGTACCGGAATAGGCAAGGTATCAAATTTTACGTTTAAACCACGACGATATTGGTCATTTCGCATACGATAAAACGTACGATTCGGTAGCTCGCTTGTACTGGTTTCCACACATGAGACGTTTTGTAAAGAAATATGTCAAGAACTGCCTTAATTGTTTGTATCAAAAATCTTGCAACAACAGAAAACCAGGCTATCACGAAAACACGTTATATATATATATGTTATCGGACATGATTAAGTTCTTTGGGTCTCCTAAGAGAATAATTAGCGAGCGAGGAACGTCATTTACTTCACAAAGATTTAAAAAGTTTTGTAACATACGCGGAATTGCTCACTACCTAAATGCGGCGGGTCTTCCTCGAGGAAACGAATAAGTCGAACGGTATAATGGTACAATTTTGGATTCTTTATCGACCATGGGTGCGAACTTAGAAGATGACAGCTGGGATGACAATGTACCGAACATTCAGTTAGGTTTAAATGGAACAGTAAATAAAGCACTAGGGGCGGCTCCGAGTGAAGATTTACTCGGGTATCGTGTCTCGTGGACAAGTTGCGTTGTACCCTCCGCTAGTTGAGGATGATATAGACGTATCAAAGTTACGTCAAAAAGTGCGAAATAATTATCCCAAATATCAGGCTCGCCAAAAGGAGCAGTTTAATTTGAAGCGGTGCGCACCAAAGAGGTTTCAACAGGGAGACTCGGTTTTATTGAAAATCAAGTCTAGTCCAGCAACGGGGGCCAGTCAGAAGTTGATGCCAAAGTGGCGAGGTCCTTTCAGGGTTTCGAAAGTACTGGGGTGTGACCGATATGAGGTTACAGACATTCCTGGGATGACACGATCAAGGACACCGTACTTGAGTGTGGCTGGCATCGATAATATGAAGCCATGGATACAATTTTAGTATGAAAGGTTACTTAAGGTGAGCTTAGGTTAAGTAACTGGAAATATGAGGGGATGGGCTGGCCTGGATACTGAAATAGGGCGATAAAGCCTGGCATTATTTCAGATGATACTGCGTCCTTGAAATCTCATATTTCCAGTAGCTAGATGAGGAATGGGCTGGCCTGGATATTGAAATAGGGTGAAAACAAAACCTGGTATTATTTCAGATGGTACTGCGTTCCAAGACTCTAGATAGCGTGGGCCCACAATTAAAAACTTTGTTTTGTCCCCTATTTTGCGATTTTCCATAATATTGTTTTTTTGTTTTTCCCTTATTTACTGCTTTTGCTTATGGTTTATTGGTTTTTATGACATTTCTATTTTACATGAGGTAAATTGCTCTAGGTCGTATAATTTTGCCGGAGAACCTATATCCACATTTGCTGTTGATTGTGAAATGATTTTTGAAAAAAAAAAACATATATTTCCTTGGCTTATATGGCTTTTTCTCCTTTTAGATCACACACGCAGAGTGAGGACACTCTATGGGTCAGGAAGGGCCGAATGTTATCGACAGTATTCGTAAGACTCGACGAAATCGACCTGGAAAAAAAAACCGATATGGAGGTTTTATCAAGTGGGTGTCGAGTTACGTCGGGCGCGCTAAGGACCCAAGAGGAAAGATAGGGCAGTTGGCATTTAACACTCTCTGCAGACATTTCTTTTTCCGTTAGTCTAAAAACTCGATAGTTTTATATTTTGTATTTTACATTTTAATAAATCCCAAGTGTTCAAACGAGTATTCTATTTTGAAAACACCTTGATTACAAGTTGTATTATGTATATATATATATATATATATATATATATATATATATATATATATATATATATATATATATATATATATATATATATATATATATATATAAATATATAAATATATAATTAGAATAGAATCGTTACACTTTATAAATGTTAGGATAAAATGTCTTCTAAATGGATGTTAATCTCTTGGGCAATAAAGATTTAATAATAAATTTCTCAGCAACACTCGAACGCGATTATGTCACACGAAATACCCTGCACTTGATATTTTCGACGGTTTAGTCGATGGGGCAGTGAACCACATAATTTAAACAACTACGACAGACCACAAATTGTATGTACGGAGTGTCCCACTAAGAATGGCTTTCGGTCTTATCCATAGGGAAAAGTAATAAAAATGGGATTCACCATTGAGCTACAAAATGAACTAATTTGCTGGCAATAGGTGGAGGAAAATTTAAAACATATCCGAACTATATTTTATAAAGAGAACGCATAAGCGTTATAAAGTGTCATAAGCCCGTTATTGCATTTCTTAAAAGAATAAATATTCTAGCCTTTGACAATGACACATGGAGTTCGGTGTACTCAAGTGGCCCAATAAAACAAGTTTAAAGCGCTACAGGGCTTTTATCTTCAAAGTACTCAACTGCACAAAAAATATTTTAGAATATTTTTGGAAAAGAATCATTTTACGAGTACATGGAGGTAAAATTCATCTTTTTTTTTTGTTACCGCACAATTGCCCATATTGTTTCCACGTATTTAAATTTAAAAAAACTATGTGTCAATATTCGCTGTAAGATTGTCGAAACTTGGTCTGCAGATTCTCTAGAAAGGAAGGAACAATGTGACAAAGGCATAATTAAATTGTATGTGGGTAATCAGATTTTATAACTAGACTCATTGCAACAGAAAATAATTGAATTAAAGAGACTTGATTTGATTGACACTTTAAAGGCAAAATTCTTCCTCGAACTGCATTTTGAATGTACCTACATCTAGAGGAAAAAGAACGTCAATTTTATATGTGACCTGAGGAAAGTTTGGGTGCAAAAATTCTTTGTCTTTTTCAGCAATAACCCGACTACTCATTAGATTACTATCAGCACATGACAATTGAACTTTTTGAAAATTGGGTAAAAAAAATATCTTCATCCAACTGCAACGTAATAGTTTAGGAAAATGTTTGTTAGCACAGCAGTTTAGCCAAAAAAAGTGCTAACGATTAGCAGCAAAAAGCAGGTATTGCAAGTCCTTAGTATTATACAAAAAACAACTGATTGCAGTTTTAAGAATCGAATCGTATGATCAAATTTATTTCTTAGACGAGGTACCACTTTGATTAGTAATGCAAAGTAATTAAAACTTAGTGCGAATTAATACCAGAGAGAAGTGGTTAATCATTGAAAAGAAATTTAAAAAATAACTATAAAAAACTTGTGTTTAAATTTTCTTACTAGGAAAAAATTCCAAAGCCGATAAAAATGTAAATAAGATCATTACAGTCATAACCATTTATTGTGTGTCGGACTATACATAGCATCTAACACTCGCATTGTGGACAAATGCACAATACCGACTATTCGTTAAGGCGATGACATTGCAAGTGGCTACAGAAACTGTGCGGGGCTTCTCCTTACCTTCAAAAATGAGAATATGCTACTTTCATATAAAATTATAGGAACCCAATATTAGTAGCTCTGGGTTGTTTTCTATTGTATATAGGAATTACAAGTGTTACTTAGTTACTTTACTCCCTTTCACAATAAATTAACATAAAATAAGAACAATATTTTTTCTAGAAATATGTCATTTTTGTTGTAGAGGTTGATTTTTTGTAGCTTTTCCATAACAGTATTATGTGTCCCTTACCCCATCCTCCCAGTGCCCAAATCAAATACCCATTTACCCTTACTCTCCTACTTCCATCCTTACCACTTCTAGTTCTTACTATTTACTTTTCTTACTAGCAGCTGCAAAATCAGAAATAACCAGTTAGTTAAGTTAGAAATAAAAAAAATAAAAATAGAAATACAAAAATAAATATTAACCAAAACTAACCAAGACCAAAAATTTCCACTCAAAATATTAATGCAGCCATTAATCCTATATTATTAAACCCATGTTTAATCGAATCCCAGTGTTCTAACTTATGTCACAGGATAGCTCTTTTACAAG